AAGGGGGAGGGTGGAGGGCATGGAGGGGAAGTGGAACGGCCGACGCTGGATGGGCGAGACGACCCCTGAGTCCGGCGTATTGGAAGGTTGGGGGTGGGGAGGGGGGGGAGGGGGGAGGTTTGGGAGGGGGTTGGGGGCCGGGGGACAGTTGGGAGTGGCAAGATTGGGGGATATACTGTACTTGGAGACAAGGTTAGCCTCTTCGGCGTCGAGGAGAGCGCCGGAGGGCGGAGGGCGGCGGCGGTGACGAGGCGGTGGCGCCGAACCCAACCTTGGTACTCTCGTATGTCTGCAGCTCTGCAGTCTGTCATGTAGCCATGTAGTGATTTGACACGTGGATATGTGTCACTGACATGCTGCGTGCTAAGCACATATGACTTGGATGGCATTCTCCAATCTCCAGTATCTGATATCTGATACTCAAGCAACAGACTCATCACGACTGTCCCACTGTCAGCCACGCAGCCGTCGCCACCAACACCCACCTAACCAAATCCTATACCATATACCACTATATACTACTACAAACCGTCACCGCACTCACCTGATCCCAGACGACTACCAAATATGGTGCTACGGGCTACAGGCTATCGGGGGGTTCTATCTACCGAGAAACACAAGACCACTAGAGACACTACCTACCCACAAACCCTACGGACACTCTTACCTACATGTACTGAGCAGCGAGCGACGGGAAGAAGACGGCGGCAGCCGCGCCCAGGCCAAACAGCATGGCGCCAAACGCCATCTGCTTGACATTCTCCGTGTCCCGCTCAACACGCTTGTTCTTGCGGATAACGCGCTCCGTGCCCGACGGAGCACCGGCGGGAACAACCGCCGCATCAGCGTTGGCCGCACGCTTGCGGCCACGCGCATAGTTCTCGTCCTCGGCGCCGCCGAGATCCTCAAGCTCCTCGCCCGCGGCGGTACGGAGCTGGAGCTCACGGCGCAGGTCACGCACAAGCTGCTTGGCCGACTCAATCTCGGCATTGATGTCAACCACGCGGCCGTAAGGCGCAGTAACCGTGGTGGTGGCCTCAAGCGTGAGGCGGCGCCGGTCCTCAGCCTCGGCGGGGCGCTGGCGCTTGGGCACGGGCGCGTTGACTTCATCCGCCATCATGCTGGGCGCAACGCGCGCCGGCTGAGCCGGCTGCGCCGAGGTGCCAGCAGCAGGAGCAGCAGTCAGCTGCTGGTGGGACTGACGGCTGCGAGCGAGCTCATCGGCGGCCGCCTGCGACCGCTGAGACTTGCGGTACGAAATGTTCGGGTCGGGGGCAGCCTTGCACAGAGCCATGACAAGCTCCGTGAGGTTGTAGGCCGGGGCCAGGTGGATGGCGAGGTGACGACTCACCCTGAGCGGTCAGTGACTATACTTGATAAGACACGAGAGAGAAAATGGCAAGGAATCAAAGGTCTGTGCGCACAACAACGCATTTGTTTGCCACCGCTTCTGGGATAAAAGATCACTCACCACTGGCCAGCAAGGCGGACAGTGTTGCAGTCACGCGAGCCGTTGGTACCGCTAGTGTCGTACGAGGAACGAACCTGGCATCAGTCTGGCCTTTGGAAGGGGAGGATCTTTACCCAGTCCATCTCGCGCCTCTCCTCCTCGTCAGTCGATCCAGGGAAGGCAACCTTGAACATGGTAGTGAGGGAGACGGCATCCGTGTCGTAGCGACGCAGGATGAAGGCGTGCTGGGCGCCGGTTCTCTCGGGCTGTGCGTCAGAGAGGTCTACCGACGCGTCAGCTCACAGTCTGGACCTTGATGCGACCGATGATTATCTCCTTGCCCTCGCGGACAATGGTCTGGAACTTGACAAGAGTGGCATCCTCGGGGACTGTGGATGAGCTGCTGCTGGTCAGATGGGGGTGCACGTACGCCTGCGGAGGTAGGGGTTGCGGCGCGGCTCGGGGAGGCGGGGGCGATTGACATTCTGGGGCGTGGGGGTGAAGTCATAGCCCTCTCCCGGGTAGGGCGGGGGAGGGTTGGAGCGGGAGAGGGAGGCGAGGTCGCCGGTGGCAATGGGGGCCTGAGAAGACATTGAATTGGTGCGATGACTCGAGATGGTTGTTGGTGTGGATGTGGACGGATGTGAGGTTGGACGGAAAGAGTTGTGGGATGAAGATGAGTGATGGATGCACTGTCGCTTTATGTAGACTGGGGATGTGGGGTGTTGTAATGCGCGTCCGCTGAGGGCGGTCTCTCATTGGCTGGAGATGGGCTGACTCGACGCTTTCACTATTCCTTGCATTCTATTCAATTCAATGTATCAGTAAACAACTCGACACGGTCTGCCTAGACCTATTCAAATGTCATGTGCCCGTACGCGTCAATGCAACCGCTGCATCTGCTCAATTGCTCGCTTGCTCGCTTGCTCGCCGTGCATGCTATCCGCACAGCCTACGCTGACTCACCCAGCTCCGCACTGTGTACCGATTGCAGAATCCCCAGCCACTATGCAGCTACGGTGGCGCGCAGTGGTCGTATGAATTGGGATCTCACTAAACACCATCCTGTGCCTGCGTGTGCTGCATGCCGCACCCGCCGCACCGCATTGTCCGCGGCATCCCACATGTGGCACTTTGCCACCTTCCCGCGTGACCTTACGTAACCTCCGCGAGCCGTCTCAAAATTCAAGTCCACCATCTCTTCGGTGGCACCATACCACCACCCACCAACCCGAGATGCCCAAGTCGAAACGCCAGCGCGTGACCACCCTCACCAAGACGCCGGGGCGCACGACGCGTGCGTCCAAGGTCGCACTCGTGAACGAGATCCGCCTCAACATCGACGAGTACGACCACGTGTGGCTCTTCAGCGTCGGCGACATGCGCAACGAAGGCCTCAAGGAGGTGCGCCAGCAGTGGCGCGGGACGGGGCGCTTCTTCTTCGGCAAGACGCGCGTTATGGCCAAGGCGCTCGGCACCGACCCCGAGACAGAGTACGCCGAGGGCCTCGGCGAGCTGGGCAAGGTGAGAAACCACGAAATAGCGCTGACGGCAGCGCTTGACGGGCCAGCTGGGGCTGTTTTGCACGTCGCATCCCGTGGACGAGACGCTCGAGTGGTTCCAGACGTGGCACAAGCAGGAGTATGCGCGCCAGGGGCACAAGGCGAGCATGGACGTTGCGCTGCCCGCGGGCCCGCTGCTCACGCCGTGGAGCGAGGACAACAATGGCGACCCCTTCCCGCACTCGATGGACCCCCAGCTCCGCCAGCTCGGCCTCGACACCAAGCTTGTGCGCGGCGTGCCGAGCCTCGCGAACCCCCACGTCCTGTGCCGCAAGGGCGAGAAGCTCAGCTCGGAAAAGTGCCGTATTCTCAAGCTCCTCGCTGTCCAGATGGCAGACTTCCGCATCAACCTCGGATCCAGGTGGACAAAGGGCTCTGGGTTCGTGCAGGGCGCTGAGCTGGAGGGCGGTGACGAGTCGGGCGACGACATGGACGAGGACTAGCGTGTACTCTTCTGTACTCTTATGCATTCTGTACCTGCTTAGCGCTTAGCTGCTGTGTGGTCGTGTAGGGCGAAAGGGGATTGTTGACCTCGGCAGCTTGCCGAATAGCGGTGGGAGGTGGAGGTGTCACGGCGGAATGTGAAGGTTTGTGGAAATTTGTACCACCACAGCAATGCAGGCTGCACCCCACCGTGCCCACCCCATCCACAGCACAGCTCACCTCGAGTAATCAGTAGTGAGCATACATCTCTATATCTATGTAAAAGGCTCAGACCCCAGCTCGACTGTCCACTAATACAGGAGTAGTATCACACGCAGAGGACAGGCGCACCCATTATACAACCACGACGGTGCCCGGTACAAACATAATGTACACTCGTGTAGCGCTACACCTTGTCTTCGTTGAGCAGGGACAGAAGCCCGCCCATCGCCGCAACGTTGCCGTGTCCAGAGTTGATACTCCGCGTGAGGTGGTACTTCAACCCGTTGGCCTGCTTGTACACCTTCCCGCAACCCTCTATTGGGCAACGGAACCGCTTCTCGGTGGGAGCCTGGTGGTCAGCTGGATTCCAGCAAGTTGTGACTCACGTCCGGGTCATCCTCTCCCACCTCCTTGCTGGCGCGCTGCTCAGCCTTCTTGACCGCCTTCTTGAAGACGCGCGCCTCGATCTCGGCCTGCGAGAGCTTGGGCTGCGCGTGGGATTGTGTTGGCGTTGTTGGCGTCTGGGCCTGCTGCTGTTGCTGCTGAGCGGGCTGAGGAGGTGTCACTGGCGGCGGCGCGTACGACAACAAGCTAGGAGGAACACATGCCGGTGGCTGGATGTTGGCGGCGCCGCGGAAGATGCCTGCCCACGGGCTCGTTGCTGGCGTCGTCGTTGAACCCAGGTTGAGGTTGACGCTGGCTTGAGGGAACAGGGCGGTAGGCGTGGGCACGGGCTCATCCATGTCCATGTCCATCATACCGGGGAGGACAGGCACATCGCTGTGGTTCATGGACACGGACACAGACGTCGTGTTGGGCGTAAAGCTACGCTTGGTGCCGTTGCTATTTGATTGCACTGCACTGATGGCGGCCATGCGCATATCAGGTGCGAGGTTGGCGTGTTCCTCTTCGTAGCTGGCGTCAGCTATTATTTCCCAGGCTGCAGAACCCTCACTGTTCCAACAACTCGTGGAGGCCCGACAGCTGGCGCCCACAGCACGTCAGGTCCTTGACGAAGCTCGCCTCAATCTCGCGCTGACGGCTGTCTGCATTCCGCCCAAAGCTCGTGCCAAGCGCACCGACACTGCCCACAAAGCTGCCACTCCCAAAACCTCCCAAGCTGCCCGGGCCGCCCCATCGAGGGGGTGAGATGCTCATGGCCATGCTGGACGAGTATGGTGAGCTGCCAGGCTGCGCTGCGCCGAGTGCGAGAGCTGAGAACGACAATGGCGCGCCGTACGATCCGGGATGGAAACCGCTGTGGGGGTTCGAGCTGGGCGATGCGTTCGGTGGTGTACTGAGTGTGAGCTAGTTGAATAATAATAGAGCCATCCAACTCACCTCGAGATCATCATGCCACCACCGTCGGCCCAACGCGACGAGGTGTCCATACCACCGCTGCCAAAGCTGGGCTGGCGATTAGGGGATGGTTTGTGTCCGCCCGGGATGGGCAGGAAGCTTGGTGTCTGCTGCATGTTGGGTGGCGAGTGGTGTGTTCAGATGGTGAAGGTGGCGGTGGTGGTGGTGATGGTGGGCAGGTGAGGAATGATGAGTTGTCGAGAATGGTGGCGAGTGCGTTGGGAGGCGAGGTGGAGAGATGCTGACCAAGGTACTCGGTGGTGGCAAGAGGAGGATGGCGGGATGAGAGTTAATGAGGAGGGATGGATGGTGGTGGTGGTGGTGGTGGGGATGATGATGATGATGATGCGAAGCGAGGATGGATGCGAGGGTGGGTGGACTGAGTAGTCGTTGGAACCTTGGTGGTGGTGCTGGGTGGTGGATGTGAATGTGTGGGTAAGTGGATGTAGCTCTCGAGAGAGAGATGGATGGTGACAATCTGCAGCCGCTGATTACAATAATCTGTGCATGACAATTCCCGACGTGCGTATAGCAGCAGCAGTGCACACGATCGCACACGACCTGCATCTATCTATCATCTACCCGGTCTATCATCTCATCCATCTCAATCTATTTCATCTACAATTTCTACAAGTTGCCTCCTGCTCCAATTCGATTCGCCTCCAAATCTGTCAACACAAATTCTTCCTGCCCCGAGTCTGCACTCGAGCGATCTGTGGCGACTGTGCGTCTCTCCCTCCCTCTCCCTCCCTCCCTCTCCCCCCCCCACCCTGTACCCTGTGGGCCTCCTCTCTCCTCGCCCGCCTCGTGCCACCCACGCTACTCGACCCCGAGTGCCACACTTTCCAAATCAGGCAACTACCTACCCCCGAGATTCATCCCAAACTTCCATCCCCCCCCCCCCCCCCCCCCCCCCCCCCCCCCCCCCCCCCCCCCCCACCCCCCCCCCCCCCCCCCCCCCCCCCCCCCCCCCCCGCCAGGCCCGCTCTGTCCCCACCCCACTCCAGGCCGCGGCCAGCCAGCTCCAGCTCATTATCCGAAGGGGTGGACGGCGTGAACAGATTTTCGGGAGGTAGCGAATAGCGGCCCCGTCTATGCATCTTCTTGGCCACGGTCTGTTGGCCTGTGGGGACGTGGGGACCTAGCGTTCACGGCATCTGGAAGAACAGTGGCGCAGAGTACACGGTTCTTGCGCTGCAGGAGGCCACCAGAAGTCAAATCTTCGGGCAATTAGTCGATGTGAACGAACGAGTCAGGCACATCCCCTGTTAAGCGGAGCCAAAACAGTCACATGACCAAAATCCCCTCGAGTCCATCAACGTACTACATTTGATTCCGCGCGCTCACGTGATAATGACGCGCCCCGTTCCTCATCTGTCGCTTGGCACCTGCGATGGCCGCCTGCCGCCAGATAGCACTTGTCCACTCCCATCCCCATCACGATACTCACACGAAACCCAACAGGCAGCTGGACCAGCAGCCATGAGCCCCGCTGCTGAAGGTGCGTCTCCGCTCTCACCCCGCTAACGCCAGTCCTCCAGCGCCTCGAGGGGTTCCCACAGGACCTGTCAGACTTCGTGCTCCCCGAGCTGAGCGGGCGTGACGTTGACGAGCTCGTCGTTTCCCTCGACAGCCTTGCCCGGGTCAATGACACACCCGAGGCGCGCAATGCTATCGTGCAAGTTTCTACGCGGCTGCCGCCACACAAGCTGCTCGAGGAGCTCGAGATTGCGTGGATGCGTGATCCTGGGCCAGCGCTCGCTCCCGTCGTCGCCGAGCTCGCGCGCAGCCTCAGCACTGGCACATACGATGTGCATGCCTGGATCAAGGCCGCCGCGAATGCCAACACTGATCGCGCACGCGAGGTCGTTGGCTCGTGGGGCGCAGCCAACTTTGACACCTTCCTCAAGGTGTGCAAAGATCTGTACTCTGACCCATCAGTTCGCCTCGGCATCCTCAACATCGTCCAGTACATCATGCTGAGCGTGCCGTACACACCAGACACGCCGACGGCATCTACACCCATGGCGCAGCTGGCAAGTCACGACTTCTTCCCCATCATGCTCAAGAGCTTGCTTCTCGACACGAGCAACCACCTCTTTGGCTTGGGCCTGTCAGCCCTCGTCATCATGCTCCCCTTCTCCCTCCTCCAACTCCGACGGTACATCCCGCTGCTGATGGTTGTGCTTGGCCGCGCAATGTGCTGGCGCGACCGCCCCTTCTACGACGCCGGGAAGCAGCAGACCGTTGGAGTGACGACTACACCGCCACCAGCGGCATCGATGGATTGGACCCTCTCGACCACTGAGTACGAGAAGCTTGCAGTGCCAACGCCCACCGAGAAGCGTGTCGTGCAGCTGCTCCTTGTTGGACTGTACGGCGCGTGGCCGTCCAATATCATCGCGTTTATGCGCGACCAGCCTGCCTACTTTGCCGTCAAGCAGGTAGCGCCAATCTACTCTGTACCGTGGGAAGAAGTGTGGGAGCCGGGGCAGCTGCAGGCACGCTGCGTGCCCCTCATCAGCGATTTCATGCTGCACCACAGCGTTATCACGCACACGTCATCACAGGAGATGGCGGACGAGAAACGGTGGGAGCGGTACGACCCCTCGGAATTCATCTCAATGGCACACCTGATGGCGGGAGGCAGCGAGGACGCCGATGCCATGTTCGAGTTCTTCCGCCTGCCGAAAGTCGACCTCGATCCTCTCGAACACGGGGCGAGAGAGGCCGAGCCGACCGTCGCGGGCAGCAGCTCGGACACGAACGACATCCGCCGGCTCAAGGTCGAGAACGAGCTGCTCCGCCTCGAGAGCCTGTACAACGACCGGCTGCGGCGGCAGTTTGTGCACCACATCGGGCGCCTGCACCGCAACTCGCTGCGGTTCAATTCCGACGAGGCCGAGATCCACAACTTTGTCAACCGGCTGAAAGAGCAGGCGAAGACGATCGCGACGCTTACGCACGACCTGACGACGCAGCGCGCCGAAGCGACACAGGCGCAGCAAAAGCACGTCAAGTGGCAGGAGCAGCTGCGCGACAAGGTGTCAGGGTTCCGCGAAGAGCGCAGAAACTGGATGACCGAGGCGACGGCGCTGCGCACCGAGCTGGCCGAGGCGCAGGTCGCGGCCAAGGAGATGCGCGACGAGCTCGGCACCGTCAAGAACGAGCGCTTCAATCTCCAGGCGCAGCTGCTCGAGCTCGCCCCAAAGGTCCGGCACATCGAGGACTACGAGACGCGCATGAAGCAGCTCACGGACGCGCAGCTGCTGTGGGACCAGGATGTCGCTGCGCTGCGCGAGGCGCGTGCGGCCGCGATTGCGAGCCAGGCGCGCTGTGCCGAGCTCGAGGCGATGCTGCGGGCGCGCGAGAAGATTTGCCGCGAGCAGAGCGATACGATACGGTGAGTTGAGCAGGATGGTGGGAGGTGGTGAGACAGGGACAGCGCTGACAGCCAGACGCCTGGAGACCCGCGTCGCTATCGCGCCCAGTGTCCCCGTGACGCCTTCGGAAGACGACAAGCCGCGCGAGATCCCTGACCCGACGTTCCACATCAACGTCGCGGAGAATGTGCGCAAGCGCGCCGAGCGGCTGGAGCGCGACAATCTCGAACTCACCGTCGAGGTCGAGCGGCTGCGCCGCATGACGATCAAGGATGCGACAGGGACGGGCGGCGGCGCCGCGAGCCTGTTGTACGGCGGCGCATAGTGGTAGTGGTAGTGTATACATTGTATCATGGAGCATTCTACGGCCTGACTCAGTACTCGACCTCTATCTCGTCATCTAATGGCCGCGTGTTGGTGTACGAGGCGGAGCGAGAGCGCATACTGCGCGAACGGGAGCGAGAGCGAGAGCGAGACCGTGACCTTGACCGCGGCCGCGAGCGCTCTCTGACCCGCTCACTTTGCCGCTCACTGTCGCGCCGGGGGGACGGCTCTCCCCGCCCGGCCTTCATCGCGCGCAAGCGGCGCACCTTCTCCTCCAAGTCAGCAATAACCCGCTCACTCTCCTCCGCCTTGGTCTTCGTCGTGCGCTGATCGCGCTCCAATTGTTCCTGCTCCTCGGCGATCGTACGCTTGATCTCCTCCTCCCGAGCCTTCAGCTGTTCTTCCTGATGTGGCAGCAACTCCTTTGGGAGGAAGTAGAGCGATGTCGCGGGCCCACCACGGCGTTGTGCTATAGGCGCGGGCGACGAAGGGAAGAGTGCGCCGTCGTGTGTACCGGGGGTGGAGGTGGTGGAGAGGTAGCCGGAGGCTGCGCGGAGAGAGCGGTGACGAGCGCGCATCTGGGGTCAGCGGGGGGAGATACAGGCGCGTGGGTAGAAAGACGGAGCAAGAGTGACTAATCATGCGAAGAAGCGGAAGGAAGAGAACGGCGCGGTACTCACTGCAATCTCGCGGTGCCCCAGAAGGTATCCTGCACTGTCGGTCTGCAGGCGCAGCGAACGCAGCTCGCGCTCGGCACTCGCGAGATCTTGTTGCGTGCTTGCCTCGCTCCGCAGCTTCTCGGCAATGCGCGCGGCAGTTTCCTCGCGGCGCTTGGCCTGGTGTTAGCCGCAGCAACTCATACAGTCCGCCTCCACCTCGCCTTCGCAGTTCGCAACTTGTGCGCCGCCGCGCCACGCGCCGACCGGCACAGCAACACTCACCGCCTCGCTGCGCTTCGCAGTTTTGTCCTCGTCTTGAAACTTGCGCAGTGTCCCCAAGATGTTTCCGAACATGCGCCGCCCGCGCGCCTGGTCTTCTCCTCTAGTACGCTGGCGCCTGGCGTCAGCTCCGCCGCCAACACGCAGGACACTTACTTTGCCGGCTTCTCCTGCTCCTCCGCGGGCCGCTTTTCGGGGCTCTTGCTCCTCGACGCGCCGTTCGCGACTGGCGACGATGGTCTTTCCTCGTCCATGTTGACGAGTGTATACGGTTGGAAGGTATTGTTGACGGTCGGCATCCAACTTCCTCTACCTCTGGGTGGCGATGATACGGAGGTCGAAATCGCAACGCCACGTGTAAAAGTTTGTCTCGCGGTGGAGGTGCTACTGAAAGTTCTGAAGCATCTCATTCCGCAACAACCATGAACGCCGGCACGAGCCTCAACCAGAGCCTCACGGCCGCGTGGAAAGTGGCGCCTGCGGCGGCTGCGCCGAAGAAGCGTGCGCGCAAGATCGGGCTGAACGACTCGGACACGACGCCGGCGGCGTCGCAGCCCACGTCGGACAAGGAGCCGGAGGCGCCGAAGCGCCGGCGCTTGCGGCGCGACAAGGACAAGGACGACAAGTATGCGCCGCCGGATGCGCGGCTCGCGCAGCTCGGCGGGCTGAACAAGCAGATCACGCAGCTGCTGGAGATTGTTGCGCTCCCGCTCCTGCACCCCGAGATCTACACGCACACGGGGGTGCCCCGGCCGCGCGGCGTGCTGCTGCACGGCGTGCCGGGCGGCGGGAAGACGCAGCTCGTGAAATGCCTCGCGGGCGACCTCGGGTTGCCGTTCATCACGGTGTCTGCGCCGAGCATCGTCTCCGGCATGAGCGGGGAGAGCGAGCGCGCGCTCCGCGAACACTTTGACGAGGCCAAGGTGCGTGATCTTCGGCGGGGTGGCTGACGGCAGAAACATGCGCCGTGCATCCTCTTCTTGGACGAGGTGGATGCGATCACGCCGAAGCGCGAGACGGCACAGCGCGAGATGGAGCGCCGCATCGTCGCCCAGCTCCTCACGTGCATGGACGACCTGGCGGCGTCGGACAAGCCGGTGGTGATGATCGGGGCGACGAACCGGCCCGACAGCCTGGACCCGGCGCTGCGGCGCGCCGGGCGGTTCGACCACGAGATCGAGATGGGTGTGCCGTCCGTCGAGGGGCGCGAGGAGATCCTACGCGTTCTTTGCTCGTCGCTGCAGCTCAGCGGCGACGTCGACATCCGGTGGCTTGCGAAAGCCACGCCGGGATACGTCGGCGCCGACTTGACCGCGCTCACGACCGAAGCCGGCGTGGTTGCCGTCAAACGCATCTTCGAGGTCATGGCGGCCGAGCCCGACATTGGGGGCATGGTGCTGGACGACGGGCCGCTCGCGTCCCTGCCCTCTGCGATTCTCGCTACGCCGATCGCCAAGTTCCTCACGCGCCACCCCAACCCCCTCCAGCCCGAGCAGCTGAGCTCGCTCACCATCGTGCCGGAAGACTTTACGGCGGCGCTGAAGATCGTGCAGCCGTCGGCGAAGCGCGAGGGCTTCGCCACAATGCCGGACGTGACATGGGCCGACATCGGCGCGCTCGGCACAGTGCGCGACGAGCTGCACATGGCGGTGGTGCAGCCGATCCGGCATCCGGAGATGTTCAACGTTGTGGGGATTGATGCGCCGTCCGGCGTGCTGCTCTGGGGTCCTCCCGGCTGCGGCAAGACACTCCTCGCGAAAGCGGTGGCGAACGAGAGCCGCTGCAACTTCATCTCGGTGAAGGGCCCCGAACTCTTGAACAAGTACGTGGGCGAGAGCGAGCGCGCTGTGCGCCAAGTGTTTGCGCGCGCGCGCGCGTCCGCGCCATGTGTCATCTTCTTTGACGAGCTGGACGCGCTCGTGCCGCGGCGCGACGACTCGATGTCCGAGTCGTCCGCGCGCGTCGTGAACACGCTCCTGACCGAGCTCGACGGCCTCGACACGCGCAAAGCCGTGTACGTGATCGGGGCGACGAACCGGCCCGACATGATCGACCCCGCGATGGTGCGCCCCGGGCGCCTCGACAAGCTGTTGTACGTGGACCTCCCGTCTGCGGGTGAGCGCGTCGACATCTTGCGCACGCACACGACGCGCACGCCCGTCGCCGAGGGCGACTGGGACGCGATCGGGCGCCTCGTGGCCAGCGAGGCGTGCGACGGCTTCTCGGGCGCCGACGTGGCTGCGCTCGTGCGCGAAGCCGCGAGCCTCGCGCTCCGCGGCGCGCTCGAAGACATGGGCGCGTTCGAGAACGACAACGACACGGGCGACGCCCGCCTGCCCCCCATGCGCGTGGGTGCCGGCCACTTTGTCGCGGCCGCGCAGAAGACGCGGCCGAGCGTCTCGCGCGAACAGCGCGCGCGCTACGAGCGCATGCGCGACAAGTACGCCGGCGTGCCGGCGCGCGGGCGGCGCACGCGCAGCGAGCGCGAGAACGATCTCCTGCGCGCTCAGCTTGCGCAGGTCACCGGCGGCGCCGAGGGCGACGTCGACGAGATGACGGAGAGAATAGGCCAGGTGTTGCCCGGGATAGCGTAGGCTGCGGAGCGCCGACTCGTAGCGAGGTGTGTATCCATCATGTATTGTACGCTGCGCGTCTGAGGCAGTGAAGGGCAGGCCAGGTTGAGTGTGGTGAGCGGGCCGGACTGCACGTAGCATCGTCGGCGCGAGGCTCGCAGCGCCTGCAACCGCATCCTAGGCAAGGTATTCAGCGAGGCGCATGAGATGCAGCAGCCAACAGCCAAACCGGGTGATTGGGCGATCATCTAAAAGGAATGCGACGGCGCGACTGTCTTCCGTGCCTGGCTCACCGACGACTTGCCGCGGTGGCGTTGCCCTTGCGCCCTCAGGCCACGTCTACCACACCAATACCGCGATCCCTCTCGCACGATCGCGCACGCGCGCACGTTGCGATCCTGCACCCGCCTGTCAGACCGACGCACAACCCTTCCATGCCGTCCACAATGCCCACCTCAGGTCATGTAGCGCGTTACACGTCAATGCGCGTTACGCTGAGCTCGGCGTGGCTCCTGATTGAACATTGCTATCCCCACTCCTCCCAAGTTGGCAGGCAATATCGACACCCTTCCGTAGTGCAAGCCAGTAACTAGTCTCTCCCTGCCTGCCCCCCGCCCACTCGCTGCTACAAGGCTGCAGCGCCAGAGTACCCATACGGGTGCAGAATTACACGACTATGGCCACGACGGCTACGAAAGACTCCAAGCTCTCCTCGCCGAACGGAACTCTGTACGTTAGCGCTTTTCATCGCGGCGACTCAACAGTATTCGCCTTCGTCCTCCTCGTCCTCCTGTGGTCGTTAGCGATTGCGAATGAGTAGGCCTTTCGGCAAGCTGCAAACCAGCTACCAGTCCAACTCACAATGCTCTCCTCGCCAACCTCCTGGTAGTCCTTCTCGAGCGCAGCGAGGTCCTCGCGCGCCTCGCTTGGGGGTTAGTGTAAGCACAAAGGATAAAGCGCGGGAGAGGGAACTGGGATACCATCCGGTGCCCCATGTCCCTCACTCCCCACACAAAACTCACCTGAACTCGCCCTCCTCCATACCCTCGCCCACATACCAGTGGACGAAGGCACGCTTGGAGTAGAGCAGGTCGAACTTGTTGTCGAGACGGGCCCAGGCGGTGGCGATCGACGTCGTGTTGGACAGCATGCAAAGCGAGCGCGAAACCTTGGCGAGATCGCCGCCAGGGACAAGAGCGGGGGGCTCGTTGCAGATACCGAGCTTGAAACCGGTCGGGCACCAGTCGACGAACTGGATAGTGCGCTTGGTGCGTACGTTGGCGACGGCAGCGTTGACATCCTTGGGGACAACGTCGCCACGGTAGAGCAGGCAGCAGGCCATATACTTGCCCTGGCGGGGGTCGCACTTGACCATCTGGTTGTTGGACTCGAAGCACGAGATGGTCATCTCGGCGACCGAGTTGGACTCGTGGAAGGCCTTGTCCGCAGAGATGACTGGGGCGTAGGTGGCGAGGGGGAAGTGGATACGAGGGAAGGGGACGAGGTTGGTCTGGAACTCGTTAAGGTCGACGTTGAGCGAGCCGTCGAAGCGGAGCGACGCGGTGATCGACGAGACAACCTGCGCGATGAGGCGGTTAAGGTTGGTGAACGAAGGCGAGGCGATGCCGAGGTTGCGGCGGCAGATGTCGTAGATGCTGCGTGTTAGGGTGATCCTCTCGCAAAATGAAAACCGCGAAAACCTACGCCTCGTTGTCGACCATGAACGAGCAGTCCGAGTGCTCAAGAGTAGTGTGGGTGGTAAGGACCGAGTTGTAAGGCTCGACAACCGAAGTCGACATCTTGGGGGCGGGGTAGACCGAGAACTCGAGCTTCGACTTCTTGCCGTAGTCGGTCGAGAGGCGCTCAAGGAGGAGGGCACCGAAACCCGAACCGGTACCACCGCCGAACGAGTGGAAGACGAAGAAGCCCTGGAGACCCGAGCAGTTGTCGGCGAGGCGACGGACCTGCTCGAGGACCGAGTCAACAAGCTCCTTGCCGATGGTGTAGTGACCACGGGCGTAGTTGTTAGCGGCGTCCTCCTTGCCCGTGATCATAGTCTCGGGGTGGAAGAGGCTGCGGTAGGTGCCGGTGCGGACCTCGTCAATGACATTGGGCTCGAGGTCGACCTGTAAGGAAAGTCAGTGTTACGTTCCATCACCACCTTTGCCGCTTCTAATCGGCTTATCGCTAGCTGGGAGCGGCAAATGGAAACTCACGTAGAGCGAGCGGGGAACGTGCTTGCCGTTGCCCGTCTCGGAGAAGAAGGTCGAGAAGCCGTCGTCATTGTGCGAGGCCGAGGTCTCCATGAGGCGGCCATCGGGCTGCGTGTGAGTCAAAGCGCCCCATAAGCCACGTCGCCACGTACGCTCAGACCATGCTCGATAGTGTAGAGCTCCCAACAGGCGTTACCGATCTGGACACCTAGCAGTTAGCGATTGCGGGGCTTGCGTGTCCTATATGCAGCGCGTGTACGCGCCCGCGTAAGTGTACGTACCGGCCTGGCCGACGTGAATCTGGAATGGAGTGAGCGTGATCCCGCGATTCGCCGCGCCACTGGCGAGAACTGTGTTTCGGCGGCGACCGCACAGTCCGCGCCGTGGCCGAGGGCAGGAGACAACTTACCGAGATGACCTCACGCATGGTGGTTTCTAATGAGTGGTTAGATGTGTTCTAGCTGGAGGAGGAGGAGGAGGAGGAGGAGGAGGAGGGCGATGGGAGGAAAGTGGAAAGTGTTGATGGGAAAGGACAGGATAAGTTGGGTGGACGGGATGGGTGCGAGATTGTAGCGCAGGGGAGGGGGGAGGGGGAGGGGGAGGGCGTGAGCGATTCAAATTACGTGGCGTGGGGGAGAGGAGTGGTGATGAGGAGCTTACCTTTGATGAAGAGGGAGATGGGACAAACCTGTGACCTCGAAGCGACGTGAGCGAGGAGCTGACTGAAGAGTCTGTCGAGCAAGTAGACGATGGAGTCTGGAGGAGGAGGAGGAGGGGAATCAAGGAGTGAGGGAGGAAGGTGTTGTGCTGGCTGGCTGGCGCTAGCTCAGCGAGGGGTGGAGACGGAGGCTAAGCCAGAGAAGGGACGGGCGCACCCGCGTACGCCCCAGGCGCATGAAGTGTGGTGTATTGTGCTCGTTGGACAGACGCGTACCCTGAACGCGTACAGGCATTTGGCCCAAGGCTCCCACAGGCTCCCACCCCACGCTCAACCCGTGCCTGTTGCGCCCACGCCCCCCGGGTGTCCCTTTGGCCCTTTCCGCCCAGAGCCACCAGAGCCACCTTGGACGCGCGGCCAAAAGTCAAAGCGCGTCTCCCATCACAAGCCATGGTGGACGGCGTTATTCATCTCTCCGTGCATGTGGCACAATCCTCTTGTTTGGTTCCCATCCCTCTGCCATCGCGCTCGCTGCCTTCGCATGCTACGACGTCCTCCGCGGCCTTCGCAACAAACGCGCCCACGAATCCGCAAAGAGCGGAGACGACCATGCAAACTCTATAAATCTATCACACAGTAATACACCATCTCAAATTCTAATCGCAGCGCGCGAGGAGCCAGTCAGTCCAGTCTCGGAGCACACGTTGGCGCTTCTCGTCGTCTGCCTCGTCGACACCAACCTTGAGCATGACTGTTGTCAGCCTTGATACCCTCAGACCAGAATCCTCACCATGCTCGTATCCCTCATACAACTCGAACTGCTTATCCTCGTGAGGAAGGCGGTGGAACAAACGCTCAGTGGCAGCATGAGACGTCGCGCGGTCTGACGTGCCGTGAATAAGGCGGATGGCTGAGGGTTTAGCTCGGCTCTGAGAAACCAGCTTACGAATGTTGATCTTCTCTGCATTCTGATTGAGCTCGGTCATGCCGTCGAGCAGCGACAGGCCCGTCCCAACGCGTAGCAGGCCATGGTAGCACAGCGCTGAGTTCAGACATCTACGTTGTGCTCAAGCTCACGGTCGGCGAAGAAGTCCTCCTCCACGCGCGGGTCGTCGGACACATTGCCGCGGACGGCTTTCGCGAGTGGTAAAGAGCCCGCAAAGAACTTGATGCTCTTTGCAATGTACTCGATGATCGCCGACGGACGCGACTCGGGAGACGCCTCCACCATTGGGCAGAGGGCGAACACGCCTGCAACCTGTGGGCGGGGAGGAGCCGGCTTGTCACTCGAAGACGCCTCAGCGACGGCTTTGGCCGACTCGCTCGGTGGGTAGCGGTACACGTAGAAGAGGCTGGTGTGAGCAATGTCAGCATGTGTCAAGCTTACACAGTCCATGCGCCCATCGATCTGTTGTCAGCATGCATGCTACACTGATGTGCAGACCACTCACGCGCCGCTGAGAAAGACCTGCTGCTGCTTACGGCCCTGCTTCAGATCCCAGGTCACCACGTCCGTCAGCACAACGTGCAGCGCGGCGGGGAGGAGGTCGAGCGAGGGGAGGTAGGAGTTGACACCGGTTGAGCGACCGTACTGCCGTTAGTTGTGGTTCGGACTCGTCGACGCACTGAGGGCAAGTCCGGCATGATGACACGGAAACCTTCCTTGAGGAAGTGGATCACATGCGGCGAGTATCGCAATCCGTAATCACTCAGCCCTGTGATCAGCGACGTGCTCTCAACTGTTCAGCCTCCGGCGCAGCCAACGCCCTGCCGAGCTGCCGGCTTGCCGAAGGCGTCTGGACTCACCATGCACGAGGACGAGGTCACGCCCACGCCCCTTGCCGCTGCACTCCCATCCGCCCTCGGGCTCGTCCATCTCCCAAACCGAGTAGAAGAGCCAGCGCCCGCCATGCTTGACACCTTGCTCGACCTCGGCTTGCTCGAGCTTGACTTGGTCTGAATGCACGATCTCTGTAGTGTTGTATGCCTCGTGCCAGGTCTTGCAATCGTGGAACGGCTTTAGAAACGCGCGACGGAAGGTATGGCGCACGCCGGGGGTGGCCATGAGGCGCTCGGTGGGTGCATGGTGTGGAAGGAGATAGCGGCCGTACGTGGGGTCGGGGACGGTGTATCGCTTTGTAGCGACGAGGTAAGGCTCGGCGATCTCCCTGCTGTGAGCGATTGCGCCATGCGCTAGGAGGGGATGAGAAAGAGGGCGTACCAGAGGGGGTTGTGGAGGGGCATGATAACGAGAGATGAAGAAGGATATGAGTAGACGATGTAGACGATTAGCTCGACTCGAGTACGCCCCCAACGTGCGTTGAGGCTGGAAGCTGGTGGCAAGGAAGCACAAGTGGAGAAATGACGACGACGTCGGTGGCTTCGGGGTGACGCCGAGGTACATCTCAGGGACACGCGGGCAACTTGGGACTCGAGAGCTCGAGATCGGCAACTGCTCCTCACCTAATGTCTCGTCTGCGCTCGCTACGGTAGCGAGCATGCAAAGCATCTGTAAAGACTCCCGCCCATGCCCATGTCCGGCATGTGTACGCTAGCTGCACGGCTGTGCCGCCGCTGGCGGCTGTTCCGCGGTGCCTGCATGCCGGCCTAGATCTTGAGGAATCTGTAAAGGTATGCCGGTATGCATTGAATAGCTGATGAAGCTTTGACCAAACTCGGATCAACGCCGCGTCCACACTGCAGCTGCTCTCCCCGCAGCCCGCAGCCCATGGCCCATGGCCCATGGCCCATTCATTATTACGCCTTCGCCGCCATCCATCCTCATCTCCTCTTTTCCTTTCTCCTCTCTGCTTCTCATTCTCCCACACACTCACACTCACCTACGTATCCTCGTGCTCTTTCTCACTCACAGATCACAGAGAATCTCTGCTCCGTCCTCGGCGCCCCTCCTGGCCTCCTTCCCCTAGCCTCTTATCAGCTCCCCAGTTCCTTGCCCTCTCCACTTTGGACTCTTCTTTTCTAGTCACTCTCATCTTCATCCTCCCTTGCAGCGACCATCCACAATCCCAAGCTGCCCGACTCTGCACGCCTCCCCCAATCCACTCCACATCCACCCGTTCACTGTTTGCTCGCTGCTGGCTGCGTGACTGTTGCGTTCCATAACTCAACCCCTACCACGTGCAGCGATCGACGTTAATTTGTCGACTGTATACGACCACCCTCAACAACAACAACGTAGGCTCGTTGTGATATCACTCTTACTCTTCTTCAGAACAGAACAGGTGAGTGCAGACTCGTGGGACATGGGGACATTTGCATGGGTGTCGGAGCGCGTCGGGCGACTAGCACGCCAGCAGCTGCGACTGGGGGGGCGTCCAAACGTCATGGATCAGCCGGTATTAGCGCGACGCCGAATAACTAGTTCGTCATAGAAAGTCGAAGGGTGCACCCTCAATCCCTGCCCCCCTTACCTCAATGTGCCCTCCACCTCCACCGCCGAGTGGCGACGAGAGACCCGCACCCGTCGACGACGGACATCTACACTCTTCTCTTCACATGATCGTTATTGGAAGCCGCTGTCGCCTCACTCCACTTCCCATCTCTCCCTTGTGCTCCCATCTTCCGCTCGACTGACTCACAAGCTAGCCTATTAAGCCTCCCATTCCGCTCCGCTCCACCACTCCCACCCCTTCCCCCATCCCTCCTCTCGCAATGGCTACCACCGTGAGGCCACCACCAGTGAGTGCAGCAGCGCACGCCTCGCGAAAATGTTGCGCACTTGTCACCTTGCAAGGCACTGTCTGGTGCAAGCAGGCTTAGGCGCCCCCGTTGTCGCCCGGCGTATCGCCGTTCACCTTATCGCCGTGCTAACACCAGCCACCCCAGCCCAAGAATGTGCTGTGGGTCGACGGCGAGCTCGCCTCGCCAACAGGCTCGGACACACCACCTGCACATGGCAACAAGGTTTTTGACTTGCCTGCCGTGAACGCCGAGGCGGACGAGTACTATGGCACCCGCAAGATGTACTCGCGCACGCGAACTCTCAGCAATGCCGGCACGACATGGAGTGCCAAGTCGCGCCCGATGTTGATGGACGGCGAGTACATCCAGCGCAACCGACGCCTGTCGCACGACGAGCAGGGAAGCGCGCCGCGCCGCTTCCTCGTGGACGTTGAGGAAACGATGCGTCTCGTTCTTGCGCAGGAGGACACAGATGACAACTGTCAGATCTCCATCTACGACTCGGGCCCCAAGCTTATCTCTCTTGGTACCGCTAGCTCGAACGCGTACCGCTCCTGGGACGTTCGTGGCAACTACATGCTCACGAACCTTCTCGCTGAGCTTGCTCTAGCCCGCGACTATGGCCGGCGCTTCATCGTCCTCGACGAGGCACGGCTAGCAGAGAACCCGGTCGATCGTCTCAGCCGGATGATCAAGAATTCGTTCTGGAACCACCTCACGCGACGTATCGATGAGCAGGGCATCGAGATCGCCGCGGCAGACCCTAAGAACCGTTCCAGGATCAGTCACCCTATCATCTATATCCCCCACGGCGAGGACGAGATGTTGGAGCACTATCAGGGAATGTGAGTGGCACAAGAGGGGTTACCACTAACCTGTCAGCGCCCGCGACCGGCCACACCTCAAGCTCGAGGTCGTGCAGCTCCCCAAGGACTGCGACGACCCCGAGTACGTCAAATCGCTCAACGAGAGGCCGGGAATCCTCGCTCTTGCGATGAAGAAAAACGAGGAAGGCAAGCTCGAGGCTCTACCCTTCGTTGTCCCCGGCGCTCGGTTCAACGAGATGTACAACTGGGACAGCGTGAGTAATATACCGATCTTTCAGCGGAGAAGCTGACAATCAGTACTTCATTGCTTTGGGCCTTCTTGTGGACGGCCGCCTGGACCTGGCCATGTCGATCATGGAGCACTTCATTTTCCAGATAAAGCACTACAACAAGATCTTGAACGGCAACCGCAGCTACTACCTGTGCCGCGCCCAGCCGCCATTCATGACCGACCTCGCGCTGCAGATCTTCAACAACATCGACCAGAACGACCCGAAGAACATTGCGTGGCTTAAGCGCGCTATCCAGGCCGCGATCAAGGACTACCACGTCTACTGGTGCTCGGAGCCGGCGCTCCACGTCGAGACCGGTCTGTCGCGCTACCGACCAAAGGGCTTGGGCATCCCCCCCGAGACCGAGGCGTCCCACTTCACGCACATCCTGCAGCCGTATGCCGAGAAGAACAGGCTCTCGGTCAACGACTTCATCGAGGCATACAACGACGGCACGATCAAGGAACCCGAGCTCGACGAGTACTTCCAGCATGACCGCGGGGTGCGCGAGTCGGGGCACGACACGACGTACCGCTTCGAGGGCAAGTGCGCGGACCTCGCCACGATCGACCTCAACTCGCTACTGTACAAGTACGAGATCGACATTGCGAACGCGATCGCAGCTGTGTTCAAGGAGGACCTGGAGCTCGAGGACGAGTTTGACCTCTCGCCGTGGCCGATGACGCGCGAGGCGTTTGACGGGCCGCGCGACAAGTCGACGTCGCGCAAGCAGACCGCTGCGGAGTGGTACGAGCGCGCACGCGTGCGCAAGGAGCGTATCGACAAGTACTGCTGGAACGAGGGGCAGGGCGCCTACTTTGACTGGAACTGCAAGAAGGGGCGCCAGGAGCGGTACTTGTCCGCGACGACGTTCTGGCCGATGTGGGCGGGCTGCGCGGACGAGCAGCAAGCTCTGCGGCTCGTGCACGTCACGCTGCCGAAGCTCGAGGCGCCCGGCGGCCTGCTGTCCGGCACGGAGGAGTCGCGCGGCCCGATCGGGCTCGATCGCCCGAACCGCCAGTGGGACTGGCCGACGGGCTGGGCGCCGCACCAGGTCATGGCGTGGGTCGGGCTCGAGCGCTACGGCTTCTCGGAGGAGGCCAACCGCCTGAGCTACCGGTGGGCGTTCATGATTGCGCTCTGCTTTGCGTCGTTCTCCGGCATCGTTGTCGAGAAGTGGGACGTTGCGGCGCTCTCGCACATGGTCGAAGCAGAGTACGGGAACCAGGGCATGGCGGTGCGCTACATCAACCGCGAAGGATTTGGGTGGACGAACGCGTCGCTCCAGATCGCCCTCCAGTTCCTCACCACCGGCATGCGGCGCGGTATTGCCAACCTCGTCCCGCCGTGGGACTACTTCGGCCTCGAGACGCCGCCCATGCCCGCGCTCAAGCGCCGCGAGGAGCGCGCAGCGCACGAGGCCACCGCGCTCCGTCGCAGCCCGTCCAGCGTCCTCCGCCAGGGCCCGACGTACGAGCAGACTTTGGAGAAGCTGCGCGGCCTCAAGGTCGGCGAGGACGGCGGACGCGTCCTGTAGCGCCGAAACAAGCAGCAACCACTGGATAGTGATGGACTACTGTGCCGACGCAAAGTGTTAGAAATTGTAGCACCCGATAGAGATGCATTGTCGTTACGAACCGTGGGTTTGAGCGTAGGTGAGGTGGGAGCGCGACGTGCATGACAGCCCCGTGCCTCGCGTGCTCGTCTGCTGATACGTAGAAGCAATCGCACCATCGCCCACTCGCGCTTCATCAAGCGTAGCATAGCAATCACAACAACTTAATGCTAAATACACGACAGCGGCGCACCCGAGGGCGACCATGCAGAAGTGGGAGGAATGGCGTAGTAGTGTCATAAGGCGATGGGAATGGATTGGGGTCGGGAGAATGCTGCTGGTTTCGGTGTGGCTGCACTTAGGTTACTGTTCTGCTATCCTTACTTCTCTTCTCTCTGCTCTCTGCTCTTGTCTTCTCCCCTCACCACCCATGGAATCGATATCCGGTATCGGTGCGCTCCTGCCGCCGCTGAAGCTCGCGCTTGCGCACACGCTCACGCTCGAGGTGGTCGCCCTCAGTGCTCGAGCGCACCATGGCCGGCGCCTGCAGATGTGCGTATGGGTTGTGCCCGCTGTTGGACGAGCGGGTGGCGCCTGAGCTCGCAGTCGGCGACACAGCCCGCTCAGACGTGGGCGAGGTGACGCCGAGGTTCAGCGCCGCCGCGGACTGCGTTCTGTTGATCCCTGCTGTATCCGCGCGCGTTAGGGGACGCAGGAACCCATGCCCAAGCAAGTTGTGCCGCCGCTTAGGCTCGGTAGGCGACACGCTCGACTGGCGCGGCGGAGGCTGACCTTGGCCAGCTGTCGGGCTCCGCTCAGCATATGCTGTGAGGTTGGGCTGTGAGTTGTGGCGCTCCAACGCCTTCTCCGGGCGCATTTCCTGATAGTTGGCGCTGTGGCGCTGGAAGCCAGATGCGTCTACTCCGTTCTCGCGTGCGTGGTCGCGAAGCTGAGTGAGATTCAAGGCCGACCCGCGGGAGGAGTGGGTGTGAACGGACGGAGGGGGCCGCCTGTGGGGAGGTGGTCGAGGTGGACCGGACGACTTCTCGCGTTCAAGAATGATATCTGCTTGTCAGCTGAGGCGACTCGTCTACACTCACTCCTTCGAAGCGACTCGGACATCTCGCGCACGATGATCATGCGTCGTCGCGAAGTCGGAGAGATTGGCCGAGCAACACCGTACTCGTCGTACTCGCCCATGGCGGAACCCAGCGCAGCCGCTGACACGGGCGCGGGGACAGGTCTAGCCAAGTCGTTGTTGACAGGTGGAGCAGGGGCAACAGCCGTGGTAGCGGCGGCTGCTGCGCGCCGTGCGGCGCGCCGGGCCTCAAGCGCCTCGAGCTGCGCACGGACTCGTGACGAAGCGAGGTAGTTGTCGTCCTCGGATTCGTCATCGGTCTCGAGCTCGACATCATCGGGCACCCGGTCGCTGGTGCCCGACCGGTGCGAGCGCCTCTCATCACTAGTCCCCGATCTGTGCGAACGCGCCGTGACTGTCACATCAGTCTGCACAGGCATCGCCACCGCGCTGTTGGATCGGAACATGGGGGCTGCCGCGGCCCCAGGTGAGTGGGCCATGGTGCCAAAGTTGGCGTGCGTCGGGGTCCGCCGGAATGCGGCATGCTCGTCGTTGCTTCCAGCTTCGGTGAGGTCGATCATGCTCTTGCCAGTGCGGAAAACACGACTGAGGAGACCCTCGGTGGGCTGCTTGACAGCCGGCGGGTCTATCTGCATTTTGGCAAACATGGTGCGCTTGCGCAGGGCTTCCTTCTCAAGCTCGAGTCTGGCAGCGGCTGCCGCGCGCTCCTTCTTGTTCATCTTGCCGTTGCGGGGCGATGGCGCAGCTGAAGGGGCAGCAGATGACACCTCGTCCTCCCAGTCGTCCTCGTTGTCCTCGACTTCGGTTACTCTGGCGCTACCGGCTGCTGTCTCGTCGTCGTCGTCATCCTCCCAATCCGAGTCGTCATTATCCTCGTCCCCATGATCGGGATCGGTCTGCTGCTGCTGCTGCTGCTGCTGCTGCTGCTGCTGCTGCTGCTGTTGCTGCTCCAACTTCTTGCGAGCGGCGATGGCCTGCACGGCGATTCTCTTCTCAGCTTGGAATCTGCCTCGCATCGTGGCCATCGACACATGCCGACGGGGCTCCTTCTTCTTCATGACGACGGCCGACGATGATTCTGCCGAGCTTCTCCATTGAGACGAGTCACTGGGCCCACCGTTTGCTTCGGGCGCTGGCGCTGGCGGTTGCTCAGCAGGAGCGATTGCTTCCGGCTCGGTAGAGACAGGGGCGAGAACCGGAGCTCGAGTCGCAGAAGTGTCTGACGATCCATCAGAGGTTCCGCTCACCTTGCCAGGACTCTGGTGTATGAAAAAGCCGCCCCTGGCGCCGCGCTTGCGTATCCTCTGGATCTCAGGGGAATCGCTCGCAGTGGTGGCGGCAACCTCCTCCTCAATCTCCTCCTCGCGCACGGGCGGTTGCCCAACATGCTTCGCGAAGGCAGTGGTTCCACCGACGCTACCACCCAGCGAACCGACGCGACTGGGCACAGGCGTTGGCTCCACTAACCGAATTTCGAGGTTGGGTGTGGGCGTTCCGGGAAGGGCGAGGTGAGGCGCGAGCCGCGGCGACTCGACGACTATTGCGTTCTCGCGCGCATCTTCTATCCAGTCCTTGAAAGAGTTTTGTTCGACCAGCAATTTGAGCTTGTTGGCAAAGGAGCGGCGGTTGCTCTCAAAGCTCTGTCTGTGATGCAGGGTAGGCTGGTCGACCGGAGTGTGAACCGATGCAGATGTGGTGGTGTCGGTTGACGATGATGAGTAGCGACGACGTACTCGAGCGCCGCCCCAGTGCCTACGGTCGGTTAGCAAAAGACATCAACCAAACTTGTCCGGGGCCGCCCAAAATAGGGCCGCGCAGATGGCGCAATGCGCGTTTGCGACTCACCTCCAAGCGAGGTTTTCAAGTCGCTCGCCGTCCTTGACCACATCAGCGGCACGGGAAACAACTGTGAGGGTCAGTACGCGTTTCCGGGGAGCCCAAGCGGAGGAATGGGATGAATGGTCCGAGGTCAGGTGGACATATGAAAGGCAAGGGGCGCGCGCCTCGGCATGGGGGACAAGAAAAGGACAGGAAAAGCTCGGGCCGAAGTGTTCGGACGTACCATTCCAAATGCTGGAGATGTCCTCGTCGTCGGACAGCAGGTCGGACGGGGGAAAGACAGAGGGTGTGAGAGTAAAGAGTGGAGCAGTCTTGCGGCCCGCACGCTCCGATGGGGAAGGTGAGGATCCGCGGAGCGTGAGAGGAGGGGTCGGGAGCGGCGCCGGATGAGCGTGGATGTGTGGACCGGGACCCACGGGGGCGGAGCGAATTGGGGACCGTGTCATTTTGCTCGGCGACACGGTTGATAGTCCAGGGCCGACGGAGAGGTCGGATGGAGATGCAGCTGTAGGCTGCGGTGCGTGTGAGGTTGAGGATGAGTGGGCACTAGGCCACGGCGGGCCTTGGCCTTGGTGACGGTGGTTTAGAGGTGGGGGAGGGGGAAGGTGGTGTAGAATGCGCGCCGGGTATGACGGCGGCGGCGGCGGCGGCGGCTGCTGCTAATGTTGCCACTTGAGTCGTCAAAAGCTGCTGCTTTTGCTGGTGATGGACAGTGTCCCAGGGGGCTATGACCTGGGGACAAAAGGCATGGGCGCGCGCAAGTGTCGAGTAGAGAATGAGAGTTGGTCGCGTAGGGGAGAGGCGCGACGGGGTGCGGGAGATAGGTTGTGGATTGAAAGGAGAAGAAGGCAAGAGTGAAGAGTGAAGAGTGGGGAATTGAGAAGAGCGTCAAAGAGACCAAGTGGATGAGAATGACGCTCTGTTGGGAGTTGTCGAGGACGATGCGCGCGATGTGGGGCGCGAAGGAGGCGGGGGGGGCCCGGGGGGAAAAGGAGGGGGAAGGGAGGGCAGGGGTTCTCGTGGTCTTTGCGCTGAATGTATCGATCTTGACGATCCTTGAGGACCTCAGCGAGCCTGGTCCGGGCGACACCGGCGACGAGGGGCGCAAAGCAGCCGGCAAGATGCGGCCGGTTGCGTTAGTCGGGGTGTGCGTAAGAAGATCGTGTGGGTCGAGTGGCGCGAATGGGACACTGCGGCGAGGACGACGACGACGACGACGACAAGGACGCGCGGGAGAACGCGAAGAGTGTCGGAATCGCAGGTCGCACGGAGAGTGGACGTGTGTGTGTGTACTAGGGGAAGTAAGACTCTGGTCGGGCGCAAGTGGATGGAATGTAGCGTGTAGGCGGTGGTTTGCGGAGCCTGTTCACGGTTCGCGGTCGCGGTTCGCGCTAGTCGGGCTTGGAGGATGGTTTAGAGGTTGGCGAGTTCGCGGAGACGGGATAGGTGTTATGTGCTAACCGAGGATGGATGAGGCGAGGCAGCGAGTCGTGGGAGAGAGGGAGTTGAAGGGCGGATGGACGCGAAGGCGCGTGCGGATGTGGGGAGGGGCGTGTGGGGGGGTGCACAGGCTGTAGGCTGAAGGCTGGAGGCTGAAGGCTGAAGGCTGAAGGCTGCAAGGAGGCTTTATGAAGATGGAGGATGGTTGCGACGAGTAAAGAGAAAAGAGAGAAAGAGAGAAAGAGAGAAAGAGGACGAGGACGAGGACGAGAGTGGCCAAACACAATCTCCTCGTCTACTACGATGGGGCGATAGGATAAGTGGGGGGGATTAGAGTGGTCACGAGTCAACTTACCTTGACATACAAAAGGTAATTCCATCTCCACTCGCGGTCCGCCCCCTGGCGGCTGGCCCACTCCTCCATACCCGGTAATGGTCGGCTTTCATTTCCTTTGCCCGCCATCCCGCATCCCTATGGCTATTCCAACTTGATCCAACACGCACACGCTTGCACAGAAATCCCACATGCATCGCTTTTATGCTACGCAACTACAACTACGCGGTGCGGACCATGCATCCGCTGCATTGCCTCCAGGCTGGCCGAGCCACTCTTCCAGGCTCTCCCAGGGAGTAGAGTAGTGCAGATTTGTCCCAATTGATACCCCGCATGGGACTATGGGGACTATGGGGACTATGGGCTGCGGTCGATCTGGGCGATCTGGGCCTCGTGCACTACTGCAGTATGTGCACTCGTGTCTTGCTCGCGCCGGCTTGCCCGCGCAGTCGACTGAAATGGGCCCACCCAGGGCATGGTCGGTGGCGGGGCGGCAAGCACCGGCTGCTCCGAGTCTGGCGGCATCCGCGCGCCAGCCATGGCTTGACAGCTTCACAGCCGCATGACCGCGCAGACCACGTGAGTTCCTGCCTCGGTAAATCCATGTGCCTGTGCCGGGGGCTCACCCGTCACTTGACTTTTTCTCTCGGGATTGACATCACCTTGATCACCTGCATCGCCTAATCGCCTGCTTGGCCTGCTTACTTGAACCATCGGTCACGCTCGCTTGTCCGAAATACGCATGGCATGGCCGAAGCGAGGTTGACGGCCGACATGCCGACCATAAACACCACCACAACCGGCCCCCAAGAACATTCGATGACATTGGATATGGCCAAGAGCTGCGACGTCAGCGCTGATTGGTTGCTAGCCGGCCAGACTAGTCCGCAATGACGACGACATGATTCCGCATTTCCGCAAAGCAGGCGCGTGGTGTAGTTGTCGATGCCGTCCACTTTCGCCTGTTCCGTCTCTCCAGTCTCTCCTCTAGGCCCCACGACGCGCGCCATACATCCCACAGCCGTGCTGATCCCATTCACGCCGCCAAGCGCTGTGCGATCCGGTGCGCTGTCGTTGACACTACCCATGAGCAGGGACGAGTTCATCGTCACCACCGTTGCGAGTGCCAGCACCCACCCCCGCTGCACAGGATATAGCCCGTCGGCGTCGGCTCTCCACGGCCGTCAGGAGCGGCCGGAGGAGCGGGAGCAGCGTCCACACCGCCACCCAGCCGGCCGTGAGGACTTGGTACGCGCGCGCCAGCGAGCTGGCATACGATCGTCCATATTCCGTTGAGGGCGAGGGCGGCGCCGATGCCGGCCATGTGTCTGACTTGAACGGGTGCGGCACAGACGGTAGCTAGCGAGGGCGAAACGGTCGAGGGGCACAGACTGTAGCTAGAGAGGGCGAAACGGTCGAGGGGCACAGACTGTAGCTAGCGAGGGCGAAACGATCGATGCGCTGCCAAGCGACGGTGGATCCGATCACGCGACATGCGTCGTCTGCACGTCCGCTTCGCACGTCTCGCCCCCCCCCCCCCCCCCCCCCCCCCCCCCCCCCCCCCCCCCCCCCCCCCCCCCTGCACAGAAGCCCCCTCACAGAAGCGCCTACTCACTGACATGCCCAGGCCGCTGGGATTAGCCGCGTCGCACATACGCACTTGTTGCGGTCGTAGAAGAGGGGCTGACCGCAGCCCACGAGGATACGACCGAATTGACGAACAGCGCCGTTGGCGAGCGCACCTCGCGGATGGCCAGCTCGCGCGTCCACTGCGCTTGGGCTTTGCGCGCGTGCCCTGCCTCCACGTCTTCGTCGTACGCGCCCCCCGCGAGGCGCTTCATCGCGAGTCCCTCGCGGCCGCGCATTCACGAGCGTCTCGGCCTCGCTGAGCGTCCAAGTCGACACCGTCGACACCGTCGACGCGGGCCGGTGCCCACGAGCCTTGATACCACCTCCGAGCGTGCCGTCCTCCCCGCCAAGCCGTGACTCGGCATACATACCCGCCGCGAAATGCCGACGAGCGTCGCCGCCGCACGAGACACGTGCGAGAGCCCAGGCCACCTACAGGAAAAAGGATGGTCCTCCACGTCGGTGCCCCGGCCATCGGTCAGCGGGGCCGAGGCCGCCGCCGAGCGGTTCCCCAATCCCCCACGTAGATGTAGAGCGCGAACGCGTGGCATACTTTCGTCCGATGTCCCAGCTGATGGCTTGCCGCTACGCGAGACCAGCAAGGGCGAGCCGACCCCGCAGCCCGCTGCTCAGCGCCGGACACAAGCAGACAGCCGAGCAGCCCACAGGGCCGCCCGAGCCGGTCAGACAGACCGTCAGGATGGACGAGGAACGCCCTCGATCAGCAGAGTCAGCCCGCCGCGGGTCGCGGCTCACGCCATGTGCTCGACCATGATGAAGGGAAGATGACGACGTAGGATGTTCGGCGAGCACGCGCATGAGCACGGCGCCTTGTCGTGGGGAGGGCGTCACTCGGCGAAGGTGGTTGTATGCTGGGTGGCTGTGATCCGTACGTCTGGTCCTGTGGCCAGCAATCTGCGTTGGCATCTCCATCGCGCCGTGAGTCAGCACCTCAACGATGCATGACGCGTCTGACATTCACATCCTGCAAGAGTGCCGAGTCGGTCACGAGTCGAGGATTTCGTCGTCGGAGATGGCCGATGGGCTGATGCCGGCGCCGGCGCCGGCGCGGCCGCACCGAGTGTGGCGGTCTCAGTCGCGATCGTCGCTGGCATCCAGTGCGTTTCACATTCATGTGAATCAAGCATGCTTCGCTGATTGAGCGCTGGTCGCTGTTGCTTCGCTTGCTGATCGCATGGCCAATGGCCAGCCCCGCCGCCTGGCCACCGCCGAGGCAGACGTCAGCGCGCGCATCAGCGCATCAACGCACAGCCCGCGGCCCAGCGGGCCGCTGTCCGCTCAGCGCTCAATGCTCAATGCGGCTTCTGGCGAGGTCCGCCCATGCGCTCACCACCCGTTCCACCGGAAGAGGGAGAGCAAGCTCGCGTCCGGTCCGGACGCACCTCAGGACGTCCAGGACAGTACAGTAGAGCCTGGCGGTTCGTGCGCGTGCGCCACCAGGGCCTCGGGACCGGTGCATATGCAGTCTAATGGTATGGTACAACAGCGGTGCGCGTCTATGCGTCGTGATCGTGAACATGACATGGGGTGGAGCTGCGGCGAGCGCGCTTGATGTGAATCGCGGTCTCCAGCTTCTGCTTCACGTCTCGGCCTCAGCCTCAGCCGCAGCTGGAGCCGCACTTAGCGAGTATACGGCGTGCTCGCCGCGACTAGTACTCGCCCATGCCCTGTGGGCGGAGGACGCGGTGGTTGCGCTCCTTCTCGACCTGGGCTGCGTGCTTCTTCTTCTTCTTGGCCGGGGACACGCTCACGAGCTTCGAGTCGACCAGCTTGCCGCGCAGCTCCTCGATGTCGCCGCCCAACAAGTCTTGCGCGGACCCGAGCGACGTGCCTGCCAGCACGAGCTGGGGTTCGGCGCTGCCGAGGAGGCGCTCGAGCACGGGCTCAAACGTCGCCATGTCGCCGCGCTCGTCGACCTCGACGATGAGGGGCGCGGGCACGATCGTCCACTGGTCCAGCGCGCGCACCAGCTCCTGGTGCCATGGGTCGCGCATGCGGCCGAACAGCACGAGCGGGTACTGTGCAATCACTTCGTCCTTGAGGAACTCGAGGTCGTTGGCCGCGTCCGGCGCCGCGGGGTCGAAGCCGACGAGCACGTCCATGTCGATCGTCTCGGACGGGTCCACGGACGCCGGGAGCGAGTTGCCCGTCGCGGCGGTGACGAAGCCGATCAGGGCCAGGAGCTCGTCGCGCGGCGACTCGAAGACGAGGGCGTTGGCGCTGGGCACGGGCGGCGGCGGCCGGTGGATCACGACCTCGGGCACCTCGTCGTTGATCGAGTACAGGTCGTAGTTGCGGCGGAAGCCGGCCGCGGGGGCGTACTGCGGCACGGCGGGAGCAGCCACGGAGCGCGAGATGAAGATGAGCATGATCGCGGCGAGTGATGTGGCGGCCAGCAGGATGGGGCGCACTCGCCGGGGCACGCGCACCCACATTCCCGTCAGCGGGCCGCCTTTGACGGCGCGCAGCAGGTCGCCGGCCGTGTTGGTTTTAGGCGCCATGTACGCTGTGGACACGTTGTCAAAGCCGAGGCCGAGGCCGATGTGTCCCGCCTGGCGCGGGATGTCCTCGGGGCTGAGGGGGCCGCGCTCAGCACGGTCGTAGTCTGAGAGAGTGACGGGCGCAGGTCGAGACGCGCGCGTAGCGGAAGGAGCGGAGGGGACAGAGGACACGGAAGACACGCCGAACTGGTCCTTGAACTGTGGAGGAGTGAGGGGGGGTGAGTCGGGGAGGGCAACCTGCCGCCTGGGCTCGAGAAGAGGGTCGACGTGGGGACGCTGGGAGGGGAGCAGATGAGAGATGGGAAAAGACGAGGTCGCCAAGACAAAGACAAGATATAGTCGGCGAGTGCGAGAGTCGGGTGTCAGCACGGACCGCAAGGAGGGAGATATGAGGGTGACTTACAGAGGACATGATAGGCAGATCTGGTGGCTTGGGGACGGTGAAACGAAGACAAGAGACAAGCTGGGTGTGAGCTGAAGCGAAGAGCAAGCGAGCAAGAGATTCAAGGTAGCCATAAAGGCGTCGTGCTTTCATGGTGGCATGTAGACGAGGCGCCAATGTCACCATGACTACGCCGCGGGATGCTAGCGTAGCGACATGGGAGATGAAATGATCTTGATGTGGATGAGCGGAATAAATACTCACGAGGGTGGATAGTCAGGGGCGGTGGCGCCTCGAGTGAATTGTTCCAGCAGTTAAGCTCGTTAGGCGCTGATCGGCGGTCGATCTGTTTGATGTGTATAATGTTCTGTGATGGAACAGCGATAGCGAGCACAACACAAGTGCAAGTGAGCGAGAGAAGAGTGATGCGAAGACGCCGTCCACGAGAGCTTGGGGGGGGGGGGGGGTTAGTTTTTAAGTGTGACGAGGAGACGAGGGCAGAGGTACAAAGCAGTTGAGGCGAGGTGAGGTGAGCGGGAAAGGGTAGGTAACGGGTTTTGGCGGGTACGTGAGTGATCGTGCCTCGACCCTGCCGCCGGAACTGCAACCCAACCTTGTACGCTGACGAGCTGACATTACCGCATCTATGTACACACCGATGCACCTTGCATACGCCATGCGCGGGAAATCTCTAGTGCGCTCCTGACGCGCCTGACGTCTCATCCGCCTCAATTGTTGCAGAGTATGACAGCGTTTAGCAGGGACGCAGAAGTGGGTGCCGAGATTGCTCAGGGGCGGCCCAGTCGCCTGGGTCCCGCCTGCCGCATTAGCCGTCTGCCGTTCTGCCCGCCGCTCATCTCCCTTTCATCGAGCCCTGCCACGCCCTGCCGCCCGCCACGCCACCAACCTCTCCGCCAGCCGCCAGCCGCCAGCCGCCAGCCGCCAGCAGCCAGCAGCCAGCCAGCAGCCAGCCAGCAGCCAGCCGCATGACGCTGGCTCGCATCACCGTCCCGCAGATTGGCGCCACTGCATCCCGTGCTCTGGCTAGGCCAAACAATTCATTCGTTCCCAGTGCAGCAGCATGACGGCGCCGCATCCCCTGTCGCGAGGCGACTGCAGCGAGATAGACATAAACGTGAAACGAGGCACGGCACATTCGGCGGCCCATCCAACTTTGCCCGAGGCCACCGAAATTTGTCTCCACGCATCCCGCAGCGCCGCGCCGCCTCTCGCGTCGCATGCAACGTGCTGCCGATGCCAACGTATGGGGAGAACAAGGTTGGGAGAGGCAGAGCGCATCGGCCACGCCGCTTCCCACGCGTGTCGTCGGCCACGGGTCCGAAGAGAAGACTCGGCGATCGCACGCCGCCGTCCTCGGTCCCATTGTCATTCCGGCCAGCCCTGCGTGGCTGGCATGGCGCTGGCTCGGCCTGCACCATCCGTGGAATAGCCTCCAAGCATGCACTCAGCCCTGGATCGAGAGGAGCAGTCGACGCTTCGGGGCCTCGGGGCATCGGGCCAAGATTCGGCAGGAGCAAGGCACACCACACCATGCGAGCCGAGTGGCATGCGCGTGGCGGCTGCCGCTCGACGATAAGACGTGGTGCCTTGCTCAATGAACGGCTTCATCGTTGTCTGGCTTCTATTGCCTCTCCCCTGGCGGAAACATCGCTTCGCTACTGTTCTGCAACATGCCAACGGACTAACTGACGCATGCTGACGGGCGCCTAACAGGTACACTGTGGAGATAGTTACGAGGCGAGGGCCTAGCGGGTGTAGTGAGACGATGGCGAGGCACATGTGCCGAACCCCGATGGCGGCGTGGCTGAGCCGAAGTGCTTATCGGGCGTCCAGAGTCGGCGGCGGCGCATTCTTGATCTCTTGGAGCGAGGTGACGCTTGCCCCGATCCTGGGTCGACGCCGCCGACTTAATCGGATGCAGTGTCGTCTTGTCCTTCATGCAGAGGGCATGAGAGGGACTCGCAGGCGTAAGAATAGGGCGAGGAGATCTCCTGTCCCGGCTTGTCTTGCTTGCCTTGCTTGCGCGCCTTACAGTGAAACGATGTCTTGGCTCGACTTCTCGTTGCCCTTCTCAACCATCTTCACCTCTCCTTGTGGCACAAACAAGCCAGCGTCGTCGCCCAAACCTGACTATTAAGCCGACTGAGGCGTATCCTGCCTGGCATAGCATCCCACTGTTACCCGCGGCCGAGGAGGACGCTGTTGATGTCCCAGAAGTAACTGTCAAGCGCAAGAATCGGCTATCGGAGAGAGCGAGACAACCCATGACGCCGCAAGGTGGGTTTAGCCTTTAAGAACGCAGTTTGACTCCTACCTACATCGCAAACTCTCAAGCCAATGAGCGACATAGTGCGACGAGAGCAGGCGTGAGCTAGTGCAGAACGGTATGACCGGAAGCGAGGCCGAGGTCCACATAGGATAGTGGTGATACCCGCACCGGCGGTACTGGGTTAACTGCGATACTGCTGGTCGCGACTCTTCACATTAGACATCTTTTGGCATCCGAAGCGAAGCGAAACATACAGCCTGCGCTAACGGCAGTACTGCAGACGACGGCTGTGGCGGCAGGCATCAGTCTCCACAACTTTCAGCTCCTGACACACCAAACACCACTCCTACAAATTCCCACTGGCGCCGCCAGTCTCGGCCCGGATTCATGCACGGCCATCGCCATGCGTCCCCTATATCCACTGCCGACGCGATTCCACCATACCCGCCTCTCTCTGGCCGCATATCACCCACTTACACACCGTCCACCAGCAGCGCCGCATCAATCCCCAGAGAAGCGGAGGAAGACGGAGACTGTCCGCGAACAGGTGCATAAACGTGGTATTATATGGCGCTCAAGTACCATTTTGTGGTGAGCGGTCGACGTGGAATGATGGGTGCCGCATTCCGCTTCGGATTGTGGCGGGTGGCGTGCCAGAGATTCTCGGCAATAGCGGTAGCTCCCGCACTTTCAATGTCTGGACCCTCCGCTCTCGCTCTCGAGGGCTACTCCAACTGGACGAGGCCAGACTCTTGCTCCCGAGTTGGTGTTTCGAAAAAAGTAAAAACCATTTGCTCTCGTTAGCTGCTCGGACAGGACAACGCCTGTCGCTTCCGCGGTTGGTGTGGGCAGGGGCGACGAACATTCGGCAAGATGTCTGCGGTCTTCACCTCGACTTGGCTGACAGGACAGTCCCGCATCTACCAATTGCCCTTCCGCACCCAGAACCCCCACCCAGACTCGAGATCGCAAGCGCAGGCCGGGGCTGCTTCCTACCACTCCAAAGCCACGAGGACACCGCTGAGTCAGCCCCCTCTCGCCATTCGCCAACCACTGCCCCTTTCCAACCAGCGCGCTCTTATTCCTCCCCCCCCCCCCCCCCCCCCCCCCCCACCCCCGATACCTAATTTCGCTACATGCTCTGCACGGCGACAAACTAAAAACGGGGAAAACTACATTACGGCGCAGCGCCAGCCAGACCCACACTGAGAGATAAGAGAGAGACGGGTACACCAGGTACCCAACATTGTGGGCAGGCGAAGCGCGCATTAACACAGGGGGGAGGGGGGGGGGGGGGGGGGAGGGCGTGTCTGTGGCGGTGGAGGACATGAGATGCAGGGGCTGAGATGAGATCGACTCGGCGATTAAGGACAGCGCGACGGCCAGGTCGAGATGGTACATTTGAGGTTGACGAGGTTACGCCGAGAGGCCAGGAATGTCGTTGACAAAGGCCTGCTGCTCGTACGGGCCGTAGGCGGCGTACCCGGGCGGCGTGCAGCCGGCCGTGTACAGAGTCGCTGATGGCGCAGGAGTCGAACTCGAGTAGTTGAGCTGGTACGAGTAGCTCTGCGTGCTGCCGTACGCCGGAGTGCCCGCCGAAGCGGGAGTAGGGGCTGAAGCAGAGTGCAGAGTCTGTTGCGACTGTGGGGGAGTGTAAGAGGCGTTGCTGGCGGGGTAGCTGTGTGAGATCTCGGTGGTCATAGCCGCACGGTAGTATGCCTGTTGCTGCTGGGCCTGGTGACCTGCACTCGTGAGGTGAGCGGTGGACGGAGCAGAGGTCGGGGTAGCAGCCTGGACGGGTGGGATCGTGATGGGGGCAACGGTCCAGCCACCGCCATAGGGCGTGTGCGGGGTGTGCGGCTCCACACCATACGAGGGCACGGCATAGACGTTGTGGTGAGTCGTTAGAGGAGCCGGGACCTGCTGGTGGTGCATATCATTGAGAGGGCTCGTCATGTGCTTGCCACGCTTGATGTGGCGCTCAAAGTCAACGTTCTCCTTGTTGTCTGCCATGGGGTCAAAGGCAAGACCCATGCCGGTAGTGTCGTACGGGCGCTTGGAGGCAGGGTGCACGCCACCAACAGGGGGCTTCTCAAAAAAGTCGACCGTGATTTCAGTCCAGAGGTGGGCGTTGCGGTCCTCAATCTTGACTATTCCGTGGGCACGCTGCTCACGGATCTTGTCCTCGTTGGCCTTGCGGACCTCCTTGGCGATGAGGTAGATCTGGCGGAGCTCGTAGTGCTGGCGCGGAGGAATGGAAGACGAAATCTCGGCGGTGGCAAAGTGCAGGCGAGAGATGGTGAGCTCGCGGAGGTCCGGGGCGGTCGCCGCAGCAATGGCCGCAGAGCCCTCGGCGCGAGGGCGGCTGGCCTGTTGGATAATGCTCGCCAAAAGACGCGGGCGCTCCTCCTTGTGAAGGTGGTCGGGCTCAATGTGGCGCATACCGACGGGCCACCAGGGTGGAGGCTTACCCTCGTCCCCGCGTTTATTCTTGTACGGGTACTTGGTCTGCTTCTTGGGCTCGACGACCTTGATCCAGGCCTTGAGAATGTTGGCGCAGACCGACTGTCCGAGGTGGGTGAAACGCTCAATGTAAACCGACTCGAGCATCATGGGGGTGATAGTGATGGCGGCAATGCGGCGGGGTGGGGAGGCCTTGGCGGCGGAGAAGACGTGCTGTCCAGGGGCGGGGGTGTGACGGCCCTGGGCAGTCGCGGCGTCAACAGTGCCATCCATGAGGGAAGGGTCAAAGTCGACTGTGCTGCCGTGGTGGCTGCCGGCACCCTTGTTACTGCTGTCGTCGTCGTCGTCGGCGGCGTCGTCATCGCCGTCCTCGCCATCAACGCCGAAACGCTTCTCCTGACGCTCAATCTCGGTCCATCGCTCCTCGTTCTTGGACTGGATGACAGTTGCGCGTCTGCGGAGGACCTCCCAGTTGATGACACCATCGAGACGAGTTTGACTGGCGTCGTCGTAAAAGTGCTCACTAGCGTGCACCTCAATGTTGCCTTTGGGGGTGACACAGACGAGCAGGTAGTGGCTGCCGTCCACGTGGGAGGCCTTGTTTGCCGCCTTTGTGACAAATTCGCGCTTGGTCTTCCAGTGACGGTTGCACTTGGCCACAGAGTGGTAGGGCTCTTCGCGGGATGGGATGCGCGGCATCTTTAAACGTTGAAGAGGAGGGAGAGGGGAGGGGAGGGGAGGGAAGAATGAGAAGTTTCGAAGAGGAGATGAAGAAGAGAGGGGCAGGGGAAAGGCCGAGAAGGAGGACGAACAGTGAAAGAGAGTGAAGGTTGAAAGGAGTGACTGTGGTTGGCTTCGGTGGGCGGTGCTGGGCGTGTTAGCACTCCATGGACAGGCGGCGTGCGAGGGTGGCCGAGCAGGACGACGCTCCGGGCGTCAAGGAGGGTGTGAGAGGAAGAAAGAGAGAGAGGGAAGAGGTTTGCACGGGATGAGACCGCCGCACCGTGTTAAGGAGCTGGACGGAAGGAGGAGGAGGGGGGGAGGAGGGGAGGGGGAGGAGGAGCGAGGATATCGCAAAGAGAGAGGAGAGGAGGGAGGAGGATGAAGAAGATGGTAGAAGGAGAAACAATGCAATGGTCAACTCACAGTTGCCTTACACCGAGACTTGAAGAAGGAGGATTGCAGGCAGCGTTGCGGGGCGGGAAAGGGGAGGAGAAGAGAGAGAAGGGGGGGGGGGGGGGGGGGGGGAGTGGCCAAGGGCGTGCAAGAGTAGCGCTCGTAGGGGGGAAAGCGTACAACTTGGTGGCGACCGCTTGCTGCTTGCCAAGATGGAGAGAGAGTGTGGGATGGCAAGACGAGACGAGAGGAGAGGAGAGGAGAGAATGAGGATGAGAGGAGGATGTGTTCGGGAGAAGGGGGATGGGAGGGGTAGACCAAGGGGG